TCCTGATCCGTCTTCCTACCGAAGGATCATTGGTCGATTAATATACCTCACCATCACAAGGCCTGATCTCGCTTATTCTGTGCAGGTCCATAGTCAATTCATGTCCAAGCCAGCTCAATCTCATCTGGTTGCTGCTCACAGAGTCCTACGCTACATTAAAGCCACCCCAGACGAAGGCTTATTCTTTCCCTCCAAATCAGATTTACACCTTAAAGCTTATAGTGACAGCGATTGGGCTGGTTGTCTTGAGACCAGACGAAGTGTTACTAGAATAGCCATCTTTCTTGGAGAATCCTTAGTCTCTTGGAAATCTAAGAAGCAAACCACTGTTAGCAGGTCCTCTGCCGAAGCTGAATATCGAGCTTTGGCATCCACTACTTGTGAAATTCAATGGTTACTTTACCTTCTGCATGATTTGGGGATCACTCATTCTCACCCTGCCCTCATATACACTGATAGTAAGTCAGCTCTTTCAATTGCTACAAACCCTGTCCATCATGAAAGGGCCAAACACATCCAAATCGACTGCCATCTTATTCGTGAAAAGCTACATTCTGGTTTGATCAAAATACTCCATGTGCATTCCCATCATCAACGAGCGGATATTCTCACTAATCCACTTGGCTCAGTCTTGTTTCACAGCCATATATCCAAGATGGGTATTTTAAATATCCATGCCCCTCTTGAGGGGGGCTCTCACGATACACATTCTCCCAATGTTGACTCACCAGAAGAAGAAGCTGCACAATCAGCAGCTCACGATTCCAGCATGGCAAGGAGCTCACGTTCAACATACCTCAGCTCCTCCTTCTAGATTCTTCTAGCTTCTTCCTCAGTTTGTTAAATTGTTAGTCTGTTGTTGGTTTGTTATTTTGTTAGTCTATAAATAAGGGCAATGTACTGACTTTTGATTTAATGAGAAATGGAGTAATTTTTCTTCTTCTTCATTCAATTTATCAGCTGCTTCATTTTTTGTTGATGAATTTGACACCCAATGCCATATCCTCATCCTCCATACTTTTTTCCATGTTTGGGAATTTGAATTCCACCCGAAATGCTCTGTCGGCCGAACCTCCCCTACAGCGCCACCATTTCAGCTACGTCTAAATCTTGGTCATGTTCCATAATTGAAGCCGGCTGATTTTCTCGGTCTTTCTCCATTCTCAAGAAATAAAGAAAGATTAGAAAAGATTAACAAATTCAATTCTTCAAATAAATTTGGAAACAAATTTTTTACAGAGCGGATTAATTCTACCAACCAAAAAAACCCTAAAGAAAGAACACAGAAGGGCAGTGAGAAAATACAAGAATCATTTATGGAAAGTGGTTCCAAAATTAAAGGGTGTCTTAGCTTACAAGGAAATTGGACAAAAAACGGAAACAATGGATCAACACGGAAGGAAAAATTCTCATACTGGTTCAAAAAATTCAAATTTTGATAAACCATAAAGAAAAAAGGGTTGAACCCCAACCATAAAGAAGATAGAC